GACTCGAATGCGTTTCCCACCATCCCAGGCTGCCTCCCAGGAAAATCAGAAATAAAGAATCCATTATCAGTAGCAGCTTCAGGAATAATAAAAGTGTCCATGGAAAGGACAGCAAACAAAGTCCTCTGACCCAGAAGAAGGGGCAGTCTTCTGGCTTTGGGACGGTCACGGGCCAGCACCCACCTACTTAAGGGCTTCCCAGGGTCTGATGGGAAAAGGCAGGGGACACTCCAGCTGGCTCACTCACCATCCCTTTTTTGGAGCCCTCCATTCAGGCCAGTAACCCAGCCCCTTCCGGCTCACGAGCAGAAATAGCTGTGACAAAAGTCCCTCCCATCCCTGAAAATGGCTTTTTAAAAAATGCTTAAAGGCAGACACACAAAAAGGTGGCAAGAACTCTGCCAAGCCCCGACCTCAGGTAGATGAGGTGGGCATCACTTCAAGACGGTGAGGAACAGTAAACAGAAGGTCTGCCTACTTGGCTTTGTGGGTCAGGCCCCCCTGGGCCTCAGTTTCCCCCATCTCAACCGAATCAGTGATTTCTTTCATTCTTTTTTTTCTTACCTGCAGAACCCTGTTTTCCAACTGAATCTTTCTCAGAATATCAATCTGAGAGTCATGGAAATGGAGCTGCTGTGGTTGACATGGGACAAATCCCAGGTGCTCAGCCTTCCAACTGCCCCCAGAATTGCTCCAAAGCACACTGCTCTGGACTCCAGGCCTCCAAAGGGCCTACTTGAAAACCACGGGCTAAAGGATCACGGTGGTGGTGCCTCCTAGATCTCAAGGAAGCTCCAACCACCCCAGGTACCAGGGAAAAACAAACTAAGCCCTTTGTGCTAACTTGAGTCGCAGACGCTTGGCAACCTACAGAAGCAGGGAACAAACCACACTGGACTTTGGGCAGGAGACGGGGAGGCCCGGACTGTCATCCCAGGAGGCAGAAAGAGCAGCCCTGACCCAGACCCGTTCAAGTCACAGACCCGAAGTATAGAGCGAACTGGGAGGGGTCACCTAAAGGACCCCCGCTTATGGAAAGGTGGAGGACCAAAGGCTCAGAGACAGCAGCAACTGACCTGACGTCACACAGCGCCTAGTGGCAGAGCCAGACCTGGAGTCTGGGTCTCTCGGGATGCCAATTCAGAGAACCCTCCACTTGTTAAAGTTCAGGGAGACTCAGCAGGAATCTCCCAGGGAAAAGCCCCCAGCCTGCAAACTCAGAACAGGATATTTTGGTGGCACTGGGTGGTGACAGGGCAGAGATGTTTGTTTTGGTTTCCAAATCAATGCTTGACAACCTTGCTGGTGTTACAGTTTCGGCAACCATGAAATGTGGTTACCGCCCCCGGTAAAGAGCTCAGAGATGGTGGGTCAGATAAAATCAAATCAGTAGTGAACAGGGCCGGGGCCGAGGACCCCAGGCCCCTGGGTTGGTGTTTCCAAAGCATGATTCCTATACCACTGGTAGCACGTGAGGTGGTACACAGGTGACTTTTTAAATTTAAATGTTATTGACTATGTAGGTGAATGGATAAACAAAATGTGGTCGATCCATAGGGTGGAATATTATTCAGCAGCATAAAGGGATTTACTACTGATACATGTTACACCGTGGATGAACCTCAAAAACGTTATCTAAGTGAAAGAAACCAGACATGAAAGACTACATGTTGCATGATTGCATTCACAGGAAATGTACAGGAAAGGCTAATCTAGAGAAACAGAAAGCAGACCAGTGGCTGCCTGGGCTGGGGTGGGAACGGGGATTAAATGGGCATGAAGGATCTTTTTGGGGTGATGCAAGCGTTCTGAAACTGGATTGTGGTGATGGTTGCACAACTCTGTGGACTTACTAAAAATCATAGAATTGTATGCTTAAAATGGGAGGATACATGATATGCACATTATACCTCAATAAAGCGGTTAAAAATATCTTACATAAGACATAATACAGGGTGGTACATGGATATGGCCACAAGTTATGTCGGTGGAACCCAAACGCCTCCAAAGTGGAGAACACTGAGCTACACATTCAAGGTTGCCCTTTGGGGAGGCTAGTGGGGGTCTCCGAGCTGTGAGTTCCTCCAGGTGGACCAGAAGAAACCCTGGGACCTTTCCTTTCCTAGCACAGGCTCCATTGCTCACTGCTTGGGGCTCCAACCTAGACATCCTGGAAGAACCTGAAGCCAACGGTGGCCAACAGCCCAGGCAAACACTTTGTTCTCATGCCTCAGACTATGACCTCTCTTATGGACAGGGGATCAGGAGTGGGCTGGGAGCTCAAACTCAGCTTTATATATCGGCAAGGCTGGGAAGACCCTTTGAGATCACCTAGCCCTGTGGTTTTTAAACTTTTGAAAAAGTTGACCACATGCCCGCTCTTCTCCTGAGAGAAAATTCTTATGAGAAACCCGAATATAGAAATAGGTAAAACCAGAACGTTACTTGTGTAAATGTATATTCCGGTTCAAATATGTTACAGTTACCTATTTGAAATCCAACCACTGAGGTGGATGAGGCGATTTGGATCCATTAATATTCAGACTCGGGATCATGGATGACGGTCCCACATTCCGCTTAATTCTATCTTCAGTGTTGGCTGCAGAGTATCAAGAAAATCTTGACTCCACAGACTAGTAGCTACAAACACGGACAGTTTTTAGCAGTTTGCTTTGTGATCCCGCAACTCTCTTCAGACAACTGGAGAAGGTTGGAGGGTGGCTTTAACTTGAGCCCAACTACTACCAACAAGTTAACGTGCACGTGAACTTCAGTGAGTTAACATGAAGAACTTGAAAGTGGGTGAGCACATTTTTACGGGGCTGTTAGCATTTCAATACATTTTTAAATATTAAATTGTATTTACTATTCAAGGAACCCCTAAGGCATCTCCAAGAAACCCTGGGGCTTCAAAGAGCACAGTGCTAGCTCACCCCCCTCTCCCTTTACAGAGAGGGAAACTGAGAGGCCCCAAGAAGGGAGTATACTTGCTTTGGAAAAAAATCTAACTTGAGCCATGAATCAATTTCAGAAAAGACACATCTTCCCAGCTGACCAAAAAAAAAAAAAAAACAGACGGGGAGGCAGAGAAGGTGCACACATCCCCCGGAGGGCGGGAAAAGGTACACCTGCACTCTACCTTTCTCAGCAGCACCCATCTCATTCCAGGCCAGAGCCAGAAGCTGACATCACTCCCCACACCCTGGGTGCAACAGAGCATTGCTCAATGCCAACCTACCTCCCTTTAAAGCTGGGCATGGTTTTCCCATCTCCTTAGTAGCCAGGTCCAAAAAGCATGCATACAGTAAAACAAACACAACGCAAGCCTAAGGCATGACGACACAATCAACAGTGGCAGACAGAAGGGCCCATCCCTCTGTGGAGTTTCACCATCAAGAGCAAGTGCCTATTTCCCTACCGCACCCCAACGAAGCTGCCCACAAGGGGCAGAGAGGTGGCCTCTCCACAGCGAGGCACTAAGCCATTCTCAAGTCCTCAAGAGCGACAACCAGTCCAAGAGAGTAGCTGGTATACAGTAGGGGGTGTAAGACCTACCCCAGAGAGCCAGGCCCTGCATGAAAGAGAACTGAGATTCCAGGTATCTGCTCCCCGCTAGCTTGACAAAGAGCCCACCATTTTAAATAACATTAACTTGATTATACCTTCCAAAAAAGCATCACCGTCCTACTCTCCTCTCATGCAACTGTGGGTGGATCTCATTATTCCATTTTTCTGATGAGCAAACAGGCTTCCAAGTGGTTCAACAATCTCACTGGCAGGTGATGGCACTGGCATTTGAGTCCTGCCCAATGGAGGAAAAGGAGGGAGACCCACGCCCAGCTCCCTGGGCAGATCTCTGTGCTCATGTGAGCACCAGGACTCAAGGAGTGGAAGGAAAGATCCTTCTCAGCACATCCTCCAAGCCTTGGAGTTCAGAGCCAAGGCTCCCAATGCACAGTTGCCCATGCTGGGACAGCAGAGGGTTCTGCCCCCACCCAGGGCTGAGATGCTACAGACAGACCCCTCTCTTCTCATCAGAAAGCGGAGCCTACAGTACTATCAGCCAGGCCCTAGGCAGGAAACAATGTCAGTTTCCCACCTGGGGAATCCAGACTGGGCAGAAATGTGCTGGCCAGTCCTGCAGGCAGTCTGCCCTACACTCTAGCCAGAGATGGTGATCTGGGTCTATTCAATGCCCAGTCTTCCAGTCCAAGGTTTTCTCCTGTGGATCTTTAGGGCTGGGTTTGTTGGGGCCCAAATAAACCATGACAAAAATGTACGGGGGAGAAGAGGAGTAAAGGGAGGTATTTTTAAAAGCTTGTGGTCAATCTGATGTTAAGTCTGGTTACTCAGCCCAGTCAGCTGGACCTTACAGATCTGGAACAAGAAGTCAGACCCTAGCCCCAGTGGGTAGGGACAGATTCATCCATTTTCAAATACATGGTCTCATTTAATTCAAGGAACAAAAGGCCAGTGGGTTAACTAAGAGTTTTTTCTTTTTACCCATGGAGGGAGGGGAACTCACCTCCTACATCCTTGGGAAAATACTTAGGCTAGGAGACAGACTAACCAGCGGTTAAAATCACTAGTTCAAATTCTGGCTTCACCGCTTATTAGCCAGTCCACCTTAGGCAAGTCACTTGCATCTCTGTGCCTCAGTTTCCTCACTTACAAAATGGGGATAAGAACGTCCTCCATTCTGTGTTGCCGTGAGAATTAAATGAGATGGTTCTTTTGTCACCAAGAAAACAATGTGCCTGGTCCAAGCACTGCTCGGAGGTGTGCCCTAAGGCAGCCAGCGCCCGCTCCCATTCCTGGAACTAGATGACTGAGTTTTCCAAGCGTGTGTAAGGCGCTCTGCGAACCAGCTTCCAGCCCACCTGCTAGGACCAGCTAGCTGGCTGCCACCCATCCCTCCCGAATACACACATTCCGCGGCAGCCGGGACCTGGACGCCCCCAACCCCGGCGCTGCGGGAGGAGGGGCGAATCCCCACTCACCTCCGCTTGTACTCGTCGCGCTCTCGCTTCACCTTGGCCAGCACGTTGTAGAGCGCGCGGATCTCCGGCGTGATGGTGTCGATCTGCACGCCCACGCCATCGGGGTGCACCCACGACACGCCGGGGCCCTGCACGGTCTCCACGCCGCCGCCGCCCGTGCGCCGCACCTGCGTGTAGCTCCAGATGGTCCCGGGCAAGCGACCGTAGTGCTGCGGGTGCGAGCCGTGGCCGGGGGGCAGGCCGCCCAGGGCCATGGCGTTGGCATTGGCGCCGGCGGCCGCGCCGCTACCGATGCCGTGTCCGCTGCCCGGCGCGAGTGGCCGCAGCAGCTCGGGCCCGGTCTGTACGGCCTGCTCACGGGAGAAGGTCTTGTAGCGCAGCCGCCGCTCGCGCTCGCTCTGCTGCTGCTCCAACTGCTTCTCCAGCAGCCGGTTGCGCCGTTCCAGCTCGTGCACCTTGGCCAGGAAGCAGCGGAAGCGCACGTTGAGCCCCTTCAAGAGGTGGATGTTGGAGCCCAGGTCGTCCCGCAGCGCCGCCGTCACTGGCGATGGCCCTGGCCCGGCCCCACCGCCGCCCCCGCCCGGGCAGCCCCCACCGCCGCCGCCGCCACCCGGAGGGCAGCCGAAGGCCAAGGCCATCTCCCCAAACAGAAGCGAGTTCACCATGCGCCGGCTGCGCAGCTCAGGGCCCCGGGGCCGCAGCTCCAGGGAAGGCTCCAGCTCCGGGCAGGGCTCCCGGCGCGGCCGGGCCAGGTTGGGCGCGGGCTCCAGCGCGGCCGGCCAGGCGGTTCCAGATGCGCGCCAGATGCGGCCTCCGCAGCGACTGAGAGCCGGACCGCCCCCGGATGTGGGCGCCGAGGCAAGGGACGGGACCCGGGCTGCGATGGAGGCCGTGGGGGCTGCGCGAGGTAGCGAGGGTTGCGGGTACCGGCGCCGAGGCTGTCAGAGACGCTGTGGAGGCGCCGCGGCAGCCGCTCGTAGAGGACTCTTGGCTGGCACTGCCCCTCTGCGGCGGGCCCCGCCCACTGCAGACACAGGCCCCGCCCCCGATGCCTCCCCGCCCACCCCACCACCCTCTGCGGCGCATCCTGAACCTGAGGCCCCGCCCACAAGGCCTGCGGCTCCAGGCCTCTCCCACCGCCTCGTGGCTCCGCCCACTACCGGGCTCCTTCGCTTTCTCAGCTCGGACGATCAGGGGCTTGCAGCTGTGGCTCCACCCAGGTTCCTCTGGACCACGCCCTCTCCTGTGCCGGGTCCTGCCGCCCCGCCCAGCTCGGATTCTTTGCCGGGGAACACGGACCGCAGAGCTGCACTAGGCACGCGGTTAGCTGAAGCCGCCGCAGAGCCAGCCCGGCCTCTTAAAGGGACCGGAGGCCTACGCAGCGCTCGTTTCCTCCTTAAGGGAGCCCTTTTCCCCACGTCCTCTGCCAAGGAGGCTCCGCTTCTCTCCCACCCCGATTCCCCAGACCCCAAATTCCCACGAGGTGCGAAAGACCTCGGCCTGGAAGGGCTGGGGGATCATAGCATCCGAAGGTGCATCCGCACCGCACCCCACTTCAGCCTGGGCGGCCTAGATCGACCTTTGCAGGATAAGGCTGCTCTTCTGCCGTCACGTTTCCCACGCGGTGGACTCGGGCAGGCTCTTTGAGCCTTGCCCCTAAGATCGGCCTGGGCACTGTGGAGCCCGCTGGTTCCCGGGCCCATGGAGTCCCCCTGACGTTGGAGGGGGGTGCGGGGTACACCGAGCGAAGACCCTCCGGGAATGCCACCCTCCTGCTCAGGCTGGGATCCTGCAGCTACCCGGCGCCATGTGACCACCTCCCCTCCACCACACACTCTCACGTTGTGATGCAGCTGACCTCAGAGCTGGGGGTCCATTTCATTGAGCCACTTAGAGGGGCGCATGGGCGAGGAATAGGTCTGGAGGGTGGAGCCAACCCGAGGACGCATTCACTCATTCACTTATTCATTCACATCTGTTTTCAGATCTGCCACCCTGAAGACCAAGTTCTCCAATCTCCTGATATCGCTAGGGCCAATTTGCAAACATCTATCATTATTTTTCAAGTGGCAAATAATTGAGTGCTTAGAATATGTCAGGCGCCATACTTAGTTATTATTCCCATTTTACAGAGGTCACTGAGACCAGAGGAAGAGCAAGCCACCCCAAAACACACGCTCCTACGCCCTTGAAACACTGCTGGCCTCTTGTCCATTTGATCCCCACCACAAACCTCAGAGAGAGGTACCACCCACCTTTGGACACCTGTGGCTTGCGCTGTGTGCACTTAACCAGATATGTGGCATGTTCCGGATTCTTCTGGCCTCATTTTTTGAACTGCAACTTCACATTTGTCTTGTTAATTTTTATGTTTGTTTTGTCTTGTGTGTAAGCTTGAGGGTAGGTACCCTGTTTTACAAGGACAATGACTTGGTGTTCTCAGTGACAAAAGAGACACAAAGGAGACACTGGCTGGCTCTGGGGTGAGGTTGCAGCTGTGATGTTAGTTTGCTGGTTTGGATTTGGCCACAAGAGCACACCCTCTGCGTGTTTCCTTCCATCACCCCCAGCTTCTCGCTCCCTGCCAAAATGGACTCACCTTTATAACACCCAGAGCTGAAACTCGCAGGTCCTGAAACCTTTCCCTGCTTCGCCCAACCCAGTGTGGTCATTGCTCTTTACTCTTTGTTCTCTCACCTCTTAGTGATTCTCTCGTTTATCTAACCTAGATAAACGTCCTGCTTTTCCGTAAAGCAGGAATTCATGGACCTCCTCAAGGGGCTTGAGGATAGAATTCTGAGGGGTCCATGATACGGGTTTGGGATTGGACAAAAGTTATATCTTCGTTTTCGCCAGTCTAAATGGTAGGTAGCATTTCCTTCGTCTTTAACCTTTGCCATTTTAACTATGATGTGTCTTGGTGTGGACCTGTTTGGGTTCAGCTTGTTTGGAACTCTCTGCACTTCTTGGGCTTGTGTGTAGCATTTCCTTTGATCATGGATGCAAGCAACAAGTAGAAGTCCTTGTCATTTTGTCACTAATAGGAATCACAGATATTTCCATATTACGCTTCAGTTACTATTGATATTTCAAACTATTGTTTAAACTACCACAACTCTAAAATTAAGATCATATCATTCACCACTAAATATTATTTAATGTATTCATAAAGAAGCACAAAAGTGTTTACATATTTTGATAGTTGTATTTTAGTAAAATTGTTTTCATTGTAAGCCAAGTGCAATTTTTAAAAATTATCCTGAGAAGTGTTCCACAGGTTTTACCAGGTGCCCAAGGAGTCTATGAGGCAGAAAGTGTTAAGCCACATGGGGAGTGGTCCCTTGCAGCCTTTTCTAGGAAGAATCTGTTCTGCCAACGGAATTGCCCTGAAGTTGGGGTGTGAAACCCTGGGGTGTGGGGGGTGCCTGGCCCTGTCCTGGGCACTACAAAGTCAGGCATTCATTTATTGAGCACCTGCTCTGGCACAGTCCCTGCCCAAATGCTGGAGAAACAACTGGGGGAAACAACCCTGAACAATGCAAGAGCTTAAGGAGCTCTGGGGGAGATAATGGAGGCAGACAACCAAAAATACCACCCTGAGATGTGGGAGAGGGTGCAGGGGACGGAAGCCTGACCAGGAGGAGATGGCTGAGCAGAGACCAGGTGATCTGAAGGAAATGGAGGAAGTCGTACCATGACTTGAAGGGATTTCCATCTGAGTCATAGAAACATGGTACGTACAAACAAAATGGCTAGAAAATAGTTCTGTGACCACCAATGTGCAAAAGCGAGATGCTGTGTCTTGTTCTTTGTGAGTAAGATGAGAGGGGAGGCTAACCACATGTCCTTTTAGCTGGGGTGATCAACTGCCTCCATTTGCCCAGGACTGAGGGGTTTCCCTTGATGCAGGGCCTTCAGTGCTAAAACCCAGAAAGTCCCAGGCAAACTAGGACAAGTTGGTCATCCTACTTCCAGGACATAGCTCTGGAGACATCTGAGCCCAGAGTCCTGGTCGTCAATGTCAGCCAGATAGAGTTCACTGTGCAGCAAACCCAGTGCTTCCACTTTAGAGACAAAAGAATTGAGGCCCAGAGATGGGTAGGGACTAGCCCCAGGTTGCCCAAATAATTGATGGCAAAACCTGGCCTAGAATTCTGGTCCCACTCCCTGTCCAATGCTCAGTCCTAGCCAAAACCATGCAGAGAGGTCAGTGGTCCCTTGCTCTCCGCCCTGAACACCCTCATCTCCCACATCCATCATCCAAAGAGACTATAGGTGGGTTCTCACAGGGTGAGAGGGGAACAGGGGTTCAATAGACAGGAATATCCCCAGAAGGGACGCCAATTTCCACCCACTGAACAAGGGTGGGTTTTCTAGTTGGGTACCTCCCCATGGCCCTCAATCCCAGCGGCCTGTCTGACCTCTTCTTGTAGGCAGGAAGAGAGAGTATTTCCAGAGACAGATTGGTTTTTGAGCCAGTGTTGGCTTAGGTTTGGATCTCTGCTCCGGCTGTGTGACCTGGCAGGTCACTTCACCTCTCTGAGCCTTCATTTCCTCATCAGTTACATGGACAGAACTTGACCCGCAAGGCCCTTATACCTTCTGCCTCTGTCACAGCCACCCTGTCTGCTGCGTCAAAGTGTTGGGCACACGGTAGTCTCTCAATAAACAGTTGCTGAATGAATGGATGAATGAATGAATGAATGAATGAATGAATGAATGGTCAACTTTCATTCTCCCCACCCCACTCTCCTGCCATTTCGTCTGGTAACTACCTCTCATCCTTCAGGTCCCAGCCACATGCACCAAGCCCTTTCTGCCCTCCCAGCACCCGCCAGGTCTGGATTGGGGTGTTTCTCTAGGCTATGTCAGCACCATGCCTATGCCATGACAGTATCAGCTACACTCTCTTGTCATCGATGGCTTTTTCATCCTCATCTCCACCCCACCCCTACCCAGGCCCCAACACTCACTACACCATGATCTTCATCAGGGCAGGGACCTTGAACCAGCACCAGGTCTAGTTCACCGCTACACCCCAGTATCCTGGCTTGGTGCCTGGCACATGCTAGGTGCTCAACAAGGATGAGCTTGGGTAACCAATTAAGCTGTTAGCACTGGAAAAAGCTGTAAAGTGTATAATAGGTGCTCAATGAATGTCAGATTTTCACATTTTAATTACATTTCTTTGTTTTACAACTTACTGAGGCACATTTTACGTATTTATACAACTCACCCATTTCAATGGTTTTTAGTAAATTTACCAACTCTATCACTATAAATCAGATTTAGAATATTTCATCTTTCCCAATAAGATTTCTTGGGCCCATTTATTGTTACTCCCTTTTCCTACCCTCTGCCCTAGGCAACCACTGATCTACTTTGTGTCTCTATAGATTTGCCTTTTCTGGACATTTCATATGAATAGAATCATATAATACAATACATGATCTCCTGTGTCATGATTCTTTGAGCATCAACGTTTTTAGGTTCATCCATGTCATAGCATTCGCAGGTCATTCCTTTTTTTTTTTAAAGATTTTTATTGGGGAATTGCGGGGATGGGAACAGTGCTGAGGAATTGGGGGAAGGGGAACAGACAAGTTGCTATTGTTTTGTTCTTCAATCTAGTTGTGGAGGACGTTGCTTCACTGGCCCAAGTTGGCACCATCATTGCGCTCTTCCCAGGCGAGGCAGATCAGTCGCTGGCTTCTGGACAGCCGCTCACTGCGGCTGCTGGCCGCTCACGCTGGCTGCTGGCTACACACGGTAGCCCATGGCAACCCACTGCAGCAGGGGCTGCAGCCTACGCCGTCGCCGGCGACTCATGGCAACCCAGCTCCAGGTTGAGCTGTTGTTCAGCATCTTAGCTGTGGAGGGCAGTGTCACTGGCCCTCACATGTGGGATCCGAACCGGGGCCCTCATGTGGGATCCGAACCGGGGCCCTCTGGCGTCCCAAGCCAGTTCTTAACCATCGCGCCACTCGGCCGGCCCGTTCATTCCTTTT